GGTTTGAGTTGTTTGGGGTTTTTGAGTCCCCATTCCATTTCACAGTTCCAGATACTGTTATTGTATCACCTTGTTTTTTGTTCCTGATGACATCAGCTATACTTGTGACTGGGAGAGCTGCAGGTGGTTCATACTTGAAAGGAACAGACATTGTGGGAATATCTTTGATGACTGTGTTATTGTGCATGAACACCATGCCACTAGATGCCACACGGAGATTGGTAATAGTTATGGGCTGTTCTGCCTGTTGCTTGTCTCGCAACAATTGGTTTTTGGTAGTATCATCCATTCCAGTGGTCATAACCCTTATCATCTGGTTTTTGTCTTCTGAGATTTGCAAAGATAGGTCGAAGTAATGATTTGAACCATGGTCACTCTTCCTGTTACCATCAGCTTGTTGCACATATCCAGTGAAGCCTGATTTAAAAAAAACAAATAAATATTTATCATCATCATGATCATCATCATTGTTGTCATAATTATTTTTCTATTGCTGCTGCTGCTGCTACTGCTACTACTATGACTACTTATACTACTATTAGTGCTAGTACTTACTTGCAGAAGAGGAAGAAGTTGGCGAAGTGGGAGGGGATGACATCTCATATTTTACTCTCTTTTTTGGACTTTGGTGTTTTTTCATGTTTAACTGAAAGACATGGTAGCAAAATGTAAGTCATTTTATTGCTTCACTAAGTGATTGTGTAAAGTATCTTGTGCCAATCTTTCTAACCTGGCTTCTTCCAAAAGTCTATATTTGTAATTTGATGTTTTCTTTACATAGTGTAGTCTTTCAAAAGTCACTGGTTCAATTACAAGGTCAGAAATTTTGCAAACTCTTGATAATGCCACATATGTCAGACCTGCAACTCTTTATGATGTCCTTAAGTCAATCCAACATTTTTTAAGAGTTAAACCTTGTGACTTGTGGATAGTCATTGACCATGCATGCCTTAATGGGAATTGCATTCTTTCTAAATTATTACCGAGTGAGTTGGAAGAACTTGTTACAGGGTAAATAGGTACACAATTTGGTGTGTCTTTACAAAAACTTGGCCCTATATAATCATTGTCAAACTGTATAATTATAGCAATTGGTAGCATCAGGGAAGAGTGATTTTCTGAAAAAATTGTCTTTAATGGTACCCATGTTGCCATTACAAAGTCCAGCTTTTGTCCAAAGATTACGTGTAAGCATAACTCTGGCTTGTTTTGATACATAAATTGTTGGTTCTAGTCCACTCATTTCTTCAGAACTCAAGGACTTTGCTTTAGGATTACTGTGGTGTGCATTAATTTGTACAATTGTTTGTTGAAGTTCCTTTAGTCTTTCGTAGTTATCTTTAGCTACTTTTTCATTACCAAAAGACAATTTGACAGAAGAATTCTCAAAGTTGTCTATATCAACCACATTTTGAGGTTGTCTTAATAAAAGCATATTCCAATCTTCCAAATTTGAATTGCCATCTCTGGCTCTTATTTGGAGAGCTCTAAATCGCTGTTGTTCATCATCTGCACCTCTAGCTCTTTCATTTACTTCAAACTTAACTACTTTCTCAAACTTTTTGTACATGCAGTATCCTTCAATTGCCAAGTCACTATTTGGTCTGGTGTGATACAAAACCTGGTCTGTAATTGGAGGTAACTGAGCAATATCTCCCACTAAGATTATGGATATACCACCAAAAGGAACCGTAGAGTAACCAGTTGCTTGCTTACAACGCCTGTTGATCCAAGCAAACATCTTCTGACCAATAACTGAAAACTCATCAATAATAAGATATTCAACACCACCTAAATCATGCTGCAGTTTTGCCAATGCTGAAGAGTTTAATGGTCCATTTTTTTTCCCTTTGATGGGAAGCTGCAAAAGGGAGTGCAAAGTATATCCTTTTATGTTAAATGCTGCTATTCCAAAGTATGCACACACCCTACATTTTTTGTTTAGGAGATTACTTAATGCTTGGATTACAAAGCTTTTGCCAGAACCTCCTAGGCCAGTTATTATCATTAATAGTTGTTCCTTGTTGTCAGAGATACATGTAAAGTGGTCTTGTACAATTTGATAAGCAACTAATTGTGCATCATTAAATTTCTTGATATCAACAGGGTTGGGAGTTGGATCATTTTTCAGGGTGTTGCTATTCTTTTGCATATTAATCCAGTGAGGCATATCTCCAATTTCCTGAATGGTGTATTTTAATCGATCCTGTTCATAGAAATCAGTTGAACAATCCATAAGTTTGTTGGTTTCATTGTCACCTTTTAATTTTAAATCAGCAAGGATCATCCATTCTTCTCTTTCATTGGTATCAGATTCAATAAAGTCGTCTTTTTCTACAAGGTGGTTTACATATTCTGAAATCAAGTTGATTTGGTGTGACCAGTTTGGTACAAACAATTTTGCATCAGTTGTTTGTAAAAATGAGTTCCATTGGTTAATATAGACAGAATCAGAAGGTTCTTCATTACACCAAGCATCATCAACAGAATTGTACCAAGGCTTATATCTTAGTAATTGGTACCGGCAAAACAAACCATAATTAGGTCCTTTGGGGTTAGAGGAATAGTTAGGAAAAGTTTTTAACACAATTGGAGAAGTCCGTTTTGCAATACCTATTTTAGTCTTGAAGTAGTTTGAAGCAAATTGTACAAAATTACAATTGGAAATTCCAGGATGATCAGTTTCAAACATTTTTCTTTTCGCATACAAATCTAGCAATGAACTCTGAGTCTCTAATGTATTATTCTCTGATAAGAACACTTTGCGAGAACCATCAAGAGATGCTGTAATCACTTGAAAAGAAGAACTAACAAGTTTAATTGAAAGTATCTGATGCATTACTTCTTGAATGCTCATATCCCTTTGTCCAACAGCACGCATCATCACTTTTCTTATAGCTTTTTTACCACTGTCTACATTTTGACAATTAGCCAGAACAGAAGTGAAGGCATCTTTGGCAACCAATGACATCTTCTCACCTTTAGAGGCATATTTTGCGATGTATTCTAAGCAAGAGTGGTAATCGATGATTACCTGAATATCACAATTAGCTCGCCATCCTTGTAATTGCAAGCGCTGATTGTTATTTAGGCGACTATCATTTCTTTTTGTTACTACTTTAACTTTATAGTGCTCTTTCCCATCTTTAGTTTTGAAAGTTTCATATTCCAGATGGGTTTTCTCACAAATTTCCTTAGGAAAATCAAATCTACAAGACAGTTCATCACTTCCCCCTTTCGTACGCAAGCAGTAAGCTGTAGAGCAATTGGTATGTCTTTGAACTAAATTCACTAGATTTTCATAGTCATTATCCCAATCATTTTGAATATCTTGAAAACGAAGTTTACAAGGGTGATTTTGTGGCTTAACCCAACTAGTGTCTGGGTTTGTTGGATTTTGTGTTGACATAAGATAGTCCACATAGTTACAGATAATAGTTTCTGCTTCTTTGCCTTTCTTAATGTCCTCTTCCTTTTCTAATGATAAATCCGGAGAAAGGTTGCTATCCTTACGTAACTGATTTGCAATACAACCTTTGAGTGCTGTTTGAGATAGGTCACATAAACCAGGGTCACTTTTCAGTTTTGCTATTCCATGGCAGTGAATAGAGCCTCTCTGTACAGCATATTCATATCTAAACCAATGCCATGTGGCATCTAGTGTGTTTTTAAGCCAATGGATTATTGACGACATTTTCACGGCGTTGAGAATCTGACAGTTCAGCGGTATTGTTAAAGAGATCATGGAATTCTGGCCAATGAAATTCAGCACATGACAGAGTCCAAAAGATGGTGGAAGTACCAACTTGTGTTATTATTGCTTTCAAATCATCTTTGGCCTGATTCCAGTAAGCATTAGTGCCAGAAACATTTTTAGCATAATGCATGAGTTTGGATATAAGTGATTCATAGGAGTCAGACATTATCATCTGCTTTAAGTCATCAATTGTAAGATTTGCTTCTGTTGGATTTTGCTTTAGGAAAAAGCTACTCTGTCCTAAAATTCTCTTCCGATATAGCATATTGTAAGCCCAGTAAGCAAACCTAGGGTGCGATGCAAACCTATATATCCATTTACCATCTATATATTCTGCAAACGTGATTAGATGTTTGAGCCTCTCAGCAAATGATTGTGTTGAATTATTTGAGATATCAGAAACAACTGCAATATTTGTTAGGTCACCTTTTCCATCAGGAAAAAGAGTTGGAAAAGCCATTGATGCTAAGAATTGTACATTGAATTCACTTAAAGGTTCACTACCAATAGTCCAATTGTGAGTTTCAGGTTGCTTGAGGAACTCACCTTCGATAATTTGTCTTTCTTTTTTGGTGTCAATATTTGTGGGTATAAAACTACCCATTTCACTCTCTGAATTATAGACTTTTTCATTGTCATCAAAATCAACTGGTCCACTGTCTATGTCAATATTTGAATTTGACTGATCACTATTCTCCATTCCACATTCTACTTTTGGCACATTTAAAGGAACACCATTTTCTGGCAGTTCAGCAAGGTTTTGCTCACTAATCTTAACATCTTTGTACAAGAAATTATTTGGCTCCCCATGTTTGTTTACACCTGTAAGCCAGTTGAGAGCATCGGAGATTTTGTTACGCCTGACAACAAAATCTTTGGAACAATTGTCTTTTCCATTCACAGTAAATATTATCACAGGTAGATCCTTAGGGCATTGAGGCAATACATCTGCAAGCTGTTGCACATTTTGGGGCAAAGTTATAACATGCCCTTTGTATGCTCTTTATCCACCTCTTGGCTTTGTATACACATGCATAACAGGAAAAGCTCTTGCAATCAACATTTCTTCAAACTG